GACACCTTGTACTCCTCTGCACAGGGGCACAGATTTCCTCCCCAGGTGGCACAGGGAGCACGTGCCAGAGCAGGGACTTGAATGCTAGAGCAGTGTATGTGTATGTGTGATGTTGGTTGTAGCCATGCTGGTCCAAGGACCCCCACGTTTACATTTTCCCAGACCTGCATTTTGCATATTGGCTTGTATTTTACCTAGGGGAGTACACGATTCACCAGCAGACTCTCTCTCTATGCCTGAAATAGCACGTTTGTGCCTGAAAGCTTGCAACAAGCAATTTTTCCAACTGTTTAGTTGGTCTAATAAAAGATATCACATCTACCCAAAAAACCTCGTCTGCCAGAGCAGTGTGCACCGTTCTGGGCTCCATGTTTGAAAAAAGGATGTGGAGAAGTTGGAGAGGGTCCAGAGGCAGGAGATGAACGTGATCCAGAGCTTGGAAGGCAAGGCAGGCGAGGAGAGGCTGGTGGAGCCGGGCACGTTCAGCTTGCAGAAGAGGTGCCAAGAGGGGCATGAGAGCGTCTCCTGCATGGCCGTGGAGGAGAGAGAGAGCTCCTTTTCTCTCACTGCAGGCAGCAGGGCATGGACCAGTGGCTTGACGTTGCAGCAAAGCAGGTTTAGGTTGGATCTTAGGAAACATTTCTTCGCTGTCAGAGCAGGGCGGCCGTGGGAAAGGGAAACTTCATCCCTGGAGGGGTTCAAGGAGAGGCTGGACAGGCATCAACCAGGGAGCATCTAGGTGCAGCAGTGCCTGTGCTCTGCTATGGGGATGTCTCAGGCCTCTGGGCTGTGCTGGGTGCCGTATGTCAAGTTGCTCCGAGGTTGGACACGGGGTTTGTCTGGGCTGGTTTGGATGGGGCTGATCCTGCACTAGGTGTGACCTTTGGGGCTCCCTGCCAGCCCCAAGGCTCTGGGATTTCTCTGAGCTCGGGCTTCCCAGAGCCTGTGCTCGTGCCTAGCAGCTGGCCCATCCTTCCTGCCCTTCGCGGGGAGGGCCTGTGTCTGCGCGACTGGCTCTCCCTGCACCGTCCGCGTGGTGCTCTGTGCGGGCGTGCGCACCTGACGGGGCTCGCACGAGTGTGCAAAACTCGTTTGCCGACCGCGGGGGCTGCTGGGGAGAAACATCTGTTCAAAACCAAGCGGTGCCTCCTGCTAAATGGCCTAGAAAGCCCTGGCGAGCGGGGTCCCGGGCGGAGGGCCGAACGCTGGGAATGTTTTGTCTGGAGGAGCCAGGCCCGGCGGAGGTGGGCGTCCGTGGGGGCTCCCACATCCTGAGAACCAGCCACATCTGGGGAAGTCGTTTGGCCAGCGCTGATGGCTCCCCAAGCCCGCCTGGCTTTAATGACTCGTGGTGCCGCAAGAAGTGGCCGTCTAATGACCATTCCATGCTCGGCCGGGGGAGCAGACCCCGCGCCGGCCGGAGGAGGGGGCTCAGCACCTTCCTCTCCCGGATGGATCAGGAGAGGGGTCTAGATCGAGCCCTCTGCCCTGGAAAGCCCTGAATTGGGAAGCTCATGGCTGGCTCTGAGCAGCCCTGGGTCTAGTTCCCATGTTCCCTGCCAGGGGACAGACCTCCAAGGGTGCAGGTCAGCGAGGAGGCTGGTACCGATGCCGCGTATCCCAGTCCAGTCTCCCTTTTGGACCAGCTGCCGGGCCTCCCTCCAGGCTCGAGGGACTTCACCCCCCCGGCTTTGTTGGGTGGCATCCACCCCTGTGTGCAGCGGGCAAGGATGCACCCTGTGGGGTGAGAGGGATCCTTACGGGGGTGCAAAGCCATGTGCTGGCCGTTGCAATAGGAAGCGGGATGGTGACCTGCGGAGGGGTTCATGGTGCCAGCCTGTGTTGAACTGGGCTGGTGGGTGGGGACAGCGCTGCCCTTCTCCCATCAGATGGGCCATAGTTAATCCTCCATGGAAGGAGTCCAGGGGCAATTCCCCATGGAAAGGACCACGGTTTCCCCCTCCCTGGTGGCAAGTTGGAGCCCACGAGCTCGGTCGAACCTCAAAAGTGGCGCTTCCCGGGTGGGATTTGGCATCAAAACAGGAAACAAAGATGTGTATAACTAATGCAAGGCAGACAAAGTTCTTTGGGTAAATGTGATATCTTTTATTAGACCGACTAAAATAGTCGGAAAAATTGTTCTTTGCAAGCTTTCAGGTGTCTGAAGTTGGTTTAATACAAGATTTACCCAAAAAAACCTTGTCTGCCTCCAACGCGGCTACAACCAGCACCTCTAACTAATGCGAGGGCATTCATTTCCACCCGGTTGTAATTGCACCCGGCGTGTCATTAAAATGTGGAGCTCGTTGCAGTGGAAGCTGATGATTTAGCCAGTCACCGAGGGTGGGACACGTGCGTGGTCGGTTGCTCTCGAGCAGGGGAGCCAGGGGCACGGCCTCTGCATCAGCCCTGCAGTGCAAGGGGGAGAGGAACGGGGGAAAACCCTGCTCCGACCCAGTCGCTCTCCCTCCAGCCTCCGCTCTGTGCCGCCGCATGATGTCGGATGCTGGGCGAGACGGACCCGGGGTCCAATCCGGCACACGGCGGCTCTGCGTGCACAGCAAGCGGAGGCGTGCGAGCAGGCCCTGCCTGCCCGCCCGCTCCTAGCCGTCGTGCTTTTGGGGGCCTCCACGTTCCCAGCAGCCGCGTCTGGCTCCGTTGGCAAGTAGCCGCGACATTTCTCCTGGCATTGTGATAACTCGCCCTGTCCCTCCCCCTGCCCCACGGGTCGGCCGAGACCCCCGGATGAATTTCCATGTCAATCCAAATGCAAAGAGCGCGCCCGACATGCCGGGTGATTTGCATATGCAGATGGATGCCGGGGTCACGCCACCCCGGCCGTGGGGCTGGCCGGAGACTGTCCGCTGCGCGGGTGAGAACTGCGCAGCCCCCCAGCCCGCGCGGGGCTCGGCCCCGGCTCATAAAGCCGCAGGTGTGGGATGTTGTTATTTAGTCTGCAGCCTGGTATGTGACAGCTCCTTTTCTCCCGGAGCGGTTTCAGATAATTAGCGCATTACGATTCCTGCACCTCGAGTGCGGGCGCGGGAGGGGAGAGGCCACCCTGCGACTACTTGTAATTTCACATCCTGTGTTTTATGGACCCGAACTGTTTGGGGCGGAGAGTCAGTGGGGGGGCTGGGGGGAAAGGGCAGACCCCTCCTCTCCTCCCACCCGCTCCATCGGCCCAACCGGGGTTGTTAGGGCGACCAAATGCTATTCGGCGCCTTGGCATCGGGCTCGTTTGCAAAAGTTTTTCTTTTTGTTGTTGTTGTTGGCTGCGGTGGTTTTGGAGCAAGATGCTCCCTGCGCCCGGCCCGGCTCCGCGCTCCCTGTTTCTTTTTTTTATTGCGCGCTTATCACCTCTTTCCCTCCTGCTTTGGAGATTGATTTCCTTTCCTTTCTCCCCTATTCAGGGCCTAAACGCAGAATGTTCGATATTTCATTTGAGGCCGCTAATCGCATTACCGCCCTTGACGTTTTACAGATATCATATTATGGGCGCAAATTTGGCAAATTATTAGCGCTGTAATGTATAGCTTGTCAAAGGTATTTAAGACGCTAAGAGCCCTGGGCTTATCGGGGTTAGCAGAGAGCTCACATGGAGCTTTTGAAATGCAGAGAGCCGGTTATAAAACACACTGTGACTCTCTTTTCAGCTTGTAAAAGGGAAGAGGGGGAAAAAAAAGAGAGAAAGAAGGAGAGAGAAAGGAGGGGAAAAATGTCATCCGTCTATCAGGGGCGTCCAGGGCTGATAACAAGCAGAATTCTTCTCTGTGGGTTTCACTGGAAATGTGAGAAGCTTTTAAAACATTTCACAAGCTGTCTGGGAAAGAGGAAAAATCTTTATTGAAAGGATGTAGCAATCTTTTTACTGCGCTCTATTTATCTCCTGGGAAAGAGCCGCAAGCAGGAGTTCCCCTCCCAGCCGGCAGCCTATCTCGGGGGCTGCGCCCCGGTGCCGACGGCCGCAGCGGCTCCCACCCGGGGTCTCCGAGCTCTCCGGGTCCGGCGGTGCCTGTTCGGACGTCGGTTGCAACGGCCCGATCCTCTCCCTGGCACAGGCCTGAGTTGCACCCTCTTCCCTTTGCACCCGGGGAAGACCAGCGAGAGGATGCGGATGTGCCCCCCCATCCAGCCGCGCAGGCGAGGGGAGCGAGCCCCCTTTCCTCCCGGCCCGGCTGGGCACAGAGGCCGACAGTAAGTGCGGGCGTCTGCCTTCGTGCCCTCTTTGCCCCCTGAACTCGGCTCCGAAACCGGGGTCCAGCCCCGCGAAGGCTGCGTGGGGCTGTCAGGGGTCGTCGCCCTCTGCGCCCGTATTGTGGAGCTGGCGAGCGTGGAGGGGGCGGTGGCGCGGCCGCGATTCACTCCCCGCTGGCGGCAGAATGGATATCATGCCTCTGATTATGGGCTGAGATGGCGCCCCGCCGACGGCAGCAAGCCGTAAATAAGCAAACTCCGCGCAGCAAGGGTGCTTGCGTGCATGTGTGTCTGCGTGCGTGTGCATGCACACGTGTGGGGTGCGAGTGATGGGTGAGGGACCCAAGTAGGGGCTGACTGGATCTGTATGTGCAGGCGGTGTGGGGAGGACCGAAGTAGGGGCTGACTGTATGTGTCGTGCATGTGCACGTGTGTGTGCGATATAGGAGGGACCCAAGTAGGGACTGACTATCTTTGTGTCTGTGCATGCATGTGTCTGTGTGCCTGATATGTGGGAGAGTCTGCACACAGGTTGGGGCTGAGTGTGTATCCCTGGGGGGGGGTGTATGTGCACACTCGCATGTGTGTTTGTGCACATGTGTGATGCATGAGCAGGACTGCACTCAGATGGGGGGCTGATTGAGTATCCTTGTGTGTGTGTGTAAGTGCACACCTGCACACGTGCATGTGTTTGTGTGCATGTCATGTATCAGAGGGACTGCGCTCAGGTTGGGGTCTAACTGTGATTATGCTTGTGCAGACATGTGCGCGCGTGTGTAAGAGGGACTGCACCCTGGTAGCTGCTGACTGTATCCGTGCGTGCCCTTGTGAGCACATCCATGTGCGCAGCGTGTGCAGGAGCCTTTGCCGTGAGGAGGAAAGGCAGGAATGCCGGCAAGAGGGCAGGGGGCTTACATTGTAGAGCAGTGGGGCGTGCGTGCGTGTGCACGTGTGAATATGCCACAAGGTACATGAGTTCCTGTGAGCTTGGGAAAGCCCACGACCTGCCTCCCTTCTGCAGCAGGCCCCGGCCCCCCGTTTTGGGCGAGGGGGGTCTGCAGTCTCATCGGAGCCCCTCTGCAAGCATGAGCCCCCAGGCCCGTGCCCCCGTGAGCACCCCAGATGGGGCGGGGGCAGGCGTGGGGTGCATCTGGTGCACCTGCCCCCGTGGCCTGTGCCCTGCAGCCCGTGGCCACCAAGAAGGAAAGCGAAGAACGGACTCGGCGCTGGGCGTCAGCTCCCGCACGGGCCCAACCTGGTGAAGGTGGCAGCCTCGCGGCCCCCCAAACGGGGCTCCTGACCCTCTTCACGCTCCAGGACACCCAGGTGGGGCTGGAGGGACGCGGCCTGGCTGTGGCTGAGAAGAAGGGGGACCGTTGCATGCTCTAGGCTGCTCACCATGGGGCTGAAATCCTTGTGGTTTGGCCTGGGATGACTTGGGGCTGCTCCCTGCTCCCAGGCTGGGAGGACATCAGTTTTCTCCCATTCCCTGCCTTGGTGCAGACACGTCAGCCATCTGCCGGGCCGGACCGAGCTCCCCAGGGGCTGCACATGTCCAAGGAAGCCTGCGATGGGGGAAGGCAGGTGACCTGCCCTGTCTAGGGCCCTTGCGGGGCCGCAGAAATTGGGGCCGTGCGGCTGTGGGGTGCCAGTGTGGACAGCGGGGCGCTCCGGCCAGCTCCTGGAGGGGGGGCAGGGGCAGCAATGCCTTTCCCAGCCGTTTTGTCAGCATCCCTCAGTCCGGTCCCCGGCTGTGCATCCCCAGGAGCGCACATCTGTCCGGGGCAAGTCCAGGGGTGTCACTGACGGAGCGGACAGAGCAGCGTGTGCCCCCCCGGGACGTCCGCGGGAGCTCGAGGGGGTATCTGGGATCTGGAGAGGAAACGGGAGCTGGTGTGGACGAGGGTGCAACGGGAGCAGGAGCCTGGCCAGGCCGGAGGCGCTGGGATCCCGTTGTCCTGCTGGCTCCCTTTTCCTTCGTAGCCTCCTGCGACGCGGCGTCCCCCCTCTCTCCTATGAAATGGCGCATCGGTAAGTGCTACTTAAGAAAACACATGTTCTCCCCCTTGAAGGCAGCCCCCGCCGGCTCCCCCCCCACCAACACCTTTCTTTATTCGACGCAAACCTCACCAAGGGGAATTTGCAACAACTGCGGTGATAAATCCGCCCGCAGATAATTGGCAAGAAAACAACACTTGTGCAGTATATAACGTTTTATGGTTGTTTCATGTACTTTATTATAATACTAATGAGCAGTTATATATCAGGAGCTAACTGCACGCCGGATTAGCTTGTTAGCATGATATGAAATGGCAGAGCAAATAGTCCAGTCCCCCTCACCCGCGCGCCCTCCCCCCTACCTCCCGTTCCCATTTGCACTGAGTAATTAGTATGCAAATTAGACCCCGGGACCACACAAGTTCCAGTATATTACAAGGGCTTTATTATGCTCTTGTGAGTAGATGATGGAAACGGCCCATGACAGTGTTTATCTCACTACCTCTCCCTTTTTCTCTCCCTCCTTCTCGCATACGTTGGCACAGAGTAAACAGGCTGGGAGCTGGGCCCCGCCACGTTACGGCTCCCTGAAGGTCTCGCCAGCTTGCCTTTCTCCCGGCGCCCGGCGTTAAGAGCTTCCTCCTGGAAGCCGCGTAACAATGATGTTCGTAATAATAATCATGCTGATGATGATGGTGATGATGATGGTAAGAGCAGCCTCGGCTCTGGCAGGGGAGAGATCGGAGCGAAGTTGCCGCTACCGCTTGTCGCCCCTTTGGCTGCCCGGTGCGGCCGGAGCATCCTCCGCGCCCCGGGTGCAGGGTCCGGAGCGTGGCCAGAGCTTGTTGGCGAGCTGTTGAGAGCAGCCGGTTTGCTCCCGGCGGCATTCCTCCTCCCCCCACCTTGCTCTGTATTTCTCCCGCGCGCTCTCTGCACCTCGCTGGGATGATCGCTGCCTCTCGAGTGCCTTTGGTGTTGCACTGACCTCCCTGGAGACTGGACGTCTCCGTTTCTGCGGGCCGCGGGCACGTCCCCAGGACGGCTCTGCCAGCGTGACTCACTCTTGGCTCCCAGGTGAGAGGAGCTCGGTCTCCATGGCTCGCTGACCGGCCTGCTGGGAACGCTGGGAGCCTGGGCTGCAGTTGCACTGCTGGGGCAGGTCGAAGCAGAAACCATCCGCTCCCGGGGTCTGGGAGTTACTAGTCATCGTTAGTAACCCAAGAGTCCTCACCGGCTGGCATGGATCCGCTTCCCGTCTCGTGCCCGTCCCTCCAGCTCCGCCGT